GTATTTGTAGAAGAGAGCCAATAAAATAAAGATTCTCTTGGGGCATTTGTAAATATTAGTTTAGAAATACAGATCGACTAATTATATAGGCAGAAGATGTAAGAGTGAATAAAAACCATTTCCCGTCAAATCAAAGGAAAGCTTGGATATGACATGCAATATGCAGGTATAAAGTTGTAGAGAAAAATAAAAAACATTTTTAACGTTGTCACGGATATTACGAGTGACTTAAAAAAAGTGTTGACGAGGTTCTCATGCATTTGTCAAAACAAGCTTAAGTAGACAAAGAGCATGCCAAAAATATATGATGGAAAACTTGCTCAGCGCATCTACAAGCACCAATTTCAGAGCTCGCTCTCTCACATATTAATTGAGAATCTGAGCATGCGTTAACAACTCCACAAACTCTCCAAGCTCATGGTAACGACCAACTGGATGTACTATTACCGATTTTGGAGTAATTAGCTCGCTCAGTCACACGTTTTAAGACAAATCTTCTGCGCATGCGCAGTCTGATTGAGCATGCGCAGTAAACTTGACCACCTACCCAAGTTCATGGTCATGGCAACGACCAACTGCATCTCCCAGCACCAATTTTGAAGTAAATAGCATGCTTAGTAACAATTCAATAGAGAAATCATCTGCGCATGCGCTATAGATTTTGCAGTCCACTCGAGTAATTTTTCATAGTCATGACAACGACCAACTATAAGTACTTGCACCACATTTGTGTCAATTAAATCACTTAGTCGCAAATTATCAAAGAAATCATCTGTGCATGCGCACTAACGATAACAATCACCCCACAACTTTCGTATGCCTTTAAATTTTGGTATATATATATAAAGCTAAAACTTTATATAATAGATGTGAAGTAACAGTGGAAGCTGGGTGCGATATAGTATGCAGTGGCTTAGGGCCCTCACTTCGGTGGCGACCGCACTCTCCCTGCGTAACCTGAGCAAAGCCTATCGCCGGTGATCTCAGGTTCTGATAGGCGGTACCTTGCTATTGGCATCTCCCAAGTAGGAAATCTACTACGGAAACGTTAACATGCGGCGTTCTAGTGCCTTGCGCTTAAGAAGGTATCGGGAAGCATGTACCAAAATCGGGATTTTTTGCTTTCGAATTTAATCTTTTTGTTTTCTTCTCATAAAACAAGCCAAGCAATGTTTCAATTAACTTCTTATGACCTGTCTTCTTCTGACACTTATAAATAAAGACAACCTTAAACAAGTTTTATACCAATTTTATCGGTTTATATCTTTCTGATTTAACTCTCCCATTTACTGTTTCTCATGTATCACGAGCAAACCATCCATATGTTTCATGAAAAACAAACAAGGATTATGTGGTTCCCTTAGTTAACATTCGACGCTCTAGTGATCAACTATCTCGGGGTATCGGGAGGCATGGACCGAAAACGGGATTCTTTGGTTTTCAAAATTTGTCTTTTTCTTTACAAGAATTCTTCTCATAAAAAAAAGTAGAATGTCCAAGGATACTTCAAAGGTTCAAACATCTTCTGCCTTTTTGAACTATAACTTAAACAAACACTAAGCATGTTTATACGTTTTTTACTTATTACCTTTTACAACGTAACTTTCTCATAACTCTCTCGTGATGAACGAGAGCCTTCTTATACAATATGACTCTTTCATCATGAACGAACGCATCCACGGGCTTCACGGAAAAAAGGATTTATGTACTTTGTTATAATAGTTTCTACAAAGATAACATTTAATAAGCTAAGAAATTTGAAAATAAATATATTTGAGTTATTAGCAAATAACAAGTCGAGAATTCATTGATCATACTCATTCCAATTGGTCTGGAACAACCATGACATTTATAATTTTAACCATCCAACCCTTTATCAAGGCCTATATTGTTAATTAACGCCAGTAACTTCATACGTCGTTCTTGCTGAACACCTTCAGGTGAAGTAGGATCATCAATAATCTGTTATATATAAAAACATAATTTATCCATAGAATTATAGCAAAGTTACGATGGACAGATGAGAGTTATTAACGCTATAAAACTTAAATTCAATATATCGTATAAAGTACCTCAAATCACGACGATTTCTCGTATCGAAAGGATTCTAAAGTAAAGGCGAAAATTAAGATGAGAAATTTCGAAGAATTGAAACTAGAGAATTTTTCAACAATAAAATGTTGAAAATACCTGTACTACCACAAGATTCTTAAATGTCTATGATCTAAAATAATAGTCATAAAAACGACAATTTCAAAAAACATAAAAAAACTAAGTATTTGTAACATTGGTGAAAGATACAGGATGAACATGAAACCTTCTCAGAAGACGATGGAACGAGACCATAACCATTTGATGTGAACTTATTCCTAACAACGATTGCGTAATCCGCTAGCATACCACGAAAACTAACTTCTGGTTTAGGCGACGCTTTACTAGCAACCTTCTAAACGTCTTCAGGACATTTAACGTATACTGAACTGGTGTCAAAAGGCTCATTGACGATGAACAACCACAAGCCATACCTAACATGTTACCACCAGAGATCTTTCTTGGGTAGATCAAAGTTTTAGGAACTTCAGACAAGGGTTGTGTTGAGCTGAGAACTAAAAAGGAGCAAATATGGATAGATGATGAAGTGGAGAACAAGAATAGAGGTTATAGAAGACGCACTACGTATGCTCATTGGTGTTTCACAAGAGTATATATTACAGGATAACTATGGATCCAACCAGTCTAAACAACTACGTACATTTAAGCAATCCATCTTTCCCATAGTAAACACACGTGTCAAAAAAACGTGATCAAATTAAAAAATTCGTGCAATCAAATAGTCGGACATGGTATTGTATTTGTAGAAGAGAGCCAATAAAATAAAAACATTCTCTTGAGGCATTTGTAAATATTAATTTAGAAATACAGATTGACTAATTATAAAGGCAGAAGATGTAAGAGTGAATAAAAACCATTTCCCGTCAAACCAAAGGAGAGCTTGGATATGACATGCAATATGCAGGTATAAAATTGTAGAGAAAATTAAAAAACATTTTAACGTTGTCACGGATATTACGATTGACTTAACAAAGTGTTGACGAGGTTCACATGCATTTGTTAAAACAAGTTTAAGTAGACAAAGAGCATGCATAAAATATATGATGGAAAACTTGCTCAGCGCATTTACAAGCACCAATTTCAGAGCTCGCTCTGTCAAAAATTAATTGAGAGTCTGAGCATGCGTTGTCAACTCCACAAACTCTCCAAGCTCCTGATAACAACCAGCTGGATGTACTAGTATCGATTTTGGAGTAATTATCTCGCTCAGTCACACGTTTTAAGACAAATCATCTGCGCATGCGCAGTTTCATTGAGCATGCGCAGTCAACTTGACCTGCTACCAAATTTCATGGTTATGGCAACGACCAACTGCATCTACTAGCACCAATTTTGAAGTAAATAGTATGCTTAGTACCAATTTAATAAAGAAATCGTCTGCGCATGCGCTCGAGCATGCGCAGTCCACTCGAGTAATTGTGCTTAGTCATGACAACGACCAACTATATGTATTTGCTTTACATTTGTGTTAATTAACTCATTTAGTCGCAAATTATAAAAGAAATTATCTGGGCATGCGCAGTAACGATAACATTAACCCCCAACTTTCGTATGCCCTTAAATTTTGGTATATATATATAAAGCTAAAACTTCATATAGTAGATGTCAACTAGCAGTGGAGGCTGGGTGCGATATAGTATGCAGTGGCTTAGGGGCCCTCACTTCGGTGGCGACCGCACTCTCCCTGCGTATCCTGAGCAAAGCCTATCGCAGGTGATCTCAGGGTCTGATGGGCGGAAGCTTGCTATTGGCATCTCCCAAGTAGGATAGCGTGGAGGTGCCGAAATCTCCTACCGAGACGTTAACATGCGGCGTTCTAGTGCCTTGAGCTTAAGAAGGTATCGGGAAGCATGGACCGAAAACGGGGTTTTTTGCTTTCGAATTTTATCTTTTTGTTTTCATCTCATAAAACAAACCAAGCAATGTTTCAATGAACTTCTTATGACCCTGTCTTTTTCTGACACTTATAATTAAAGACAACCTTAAACATGTTTTATATCAATTTTATCGGTTTATATCTTTCTGATTTAACTCTCCCATTTAGTGTTTCTCATGTATCACGAGCAAACCATCCATATGTTTCATGGAAAACAAACAAGGATTATGTGGTTCCCTTAGTTAACATGCGACGCTCTAGTGATCAACTATCTCGGGGTATCGGGAGGCATGGTCCGAAAACGGGATTCTTTGGTTTTCAAAATTTGTCTTTTTCTTTACAAGAATTCTTCTCATAAAAAAAACTAGAACTTCCAAGGATACTTCAAAGGTTCAAACAACTTCTGCCTTTTTGAACTATAATTGATATAATGATCTCAGGTCTGATGAGCGGAAGCTTGCTATTGGCATCTCCCAAGTAGGATAGCGTGGAGTGGCCGAAATCTCCTACCGAAACGTTAACATGCGGCGTTCTAGTGCCTTACATATAAGAAGAAACATATTTCGGGAAACATGGCCCGAAAACGGGTTTTCTTGCTTTCGAATTTTATGTTTTTGTTTACCTCATAAAACAAACTAGAACATCCAAGGATACTACAAAGGTTCAAATAACTTCCTCCTTCTTAATTTATACAGACATTCTGGAATTCTGCGGTGCCGCGATTTCGCAGAATCGATCAAAATTCGCGGAATATCGCGGAATTTTAATTTTTACACGTTGTTTTCAAAATTATTCCCTGAACTTACGAATTATATGGTGTTCTAAATGAAGTCTGGAGCGAAACAACACTAGGGCGTTGCCTTTGCTAGTTGCTACGTCTGTAAAATTTTAAACAAAATGGAAGTACTTCCGTTCCGTTTCACTTCCGTTCACGTAGTTTATTTAAATTAAATACGAGGAAGAAATGGCGGCAGTTTATACGAGCGAAGATCATTCAATGTAAGCTTTGCGGATGGATAAATTTGTTGTACAGAAATTGTCCCAAGTTCCTCATCCAAAGACAAAGTCACACCTTTCTGTGAATATAGATGCAAAACAGCGAGCAAGTAAATATCCGTCAGGAACTTTTCACCTGGATGATGGTCTGTTGTTCTGTTCAAAGTGCAATGTCGTAATTGATCATGTAAGGACATCACCGTCGATGACCACCTAAAATCAAAGAGTCAGGCCAAAGCAAACTCTTTTGGAAAGCAGCAGTCTGTCAAAACAGCACTGAAATTCTCTAACAATACAAAGGCAGAGAAAATCAAGGTTTGTCAAGAATGGATATATGAATGCACTGCGGCGAATATTCCGCTATTAAAATCTGATAACGCATATCTAAGAGAGTTTTTGACCACAATGGTAAAAAATGGCGGTGCTATTCCTGGATCCTCTCAACTGCGAGATGAGTATCTTCTTGATGTATATGTTGTAGAGAAAGAGGAATTGAAGCAAAAATTTAACGGTAAAAAAGTCGCTATATTGACTGATGAGCTGAGCGATGATGAGGGACGCTATGTAATGGATGTCCTGGCTGTTATTCTTGATTTTGATGAACTATCTCCTCATGGCAATACTTGCGCTTATTTACTGGATACACATTTTTTGACCAGCACCAACAATGTGACAGTGTCCCAGACAGTGCTCAAAGTCGTAAATGAGTATGATATTTCGTTTGATAATGTGCTCATTTTTAATTCTGATAACGTGGCATACATGAAGAAAGCATTTTCGTCCACACTTTCGGTTATTTTTCCAAATTGTGTGCACATTACTTGCATATCACATTACATAACGTGTATCGACAAAAACTGCGCTCTGCGTTTCTTTCAAGATTTAGCCGAAATCTTTAATTATTCGTATAAAAATCTATTACACTTTGTTGCTGAAGTTTTTGTGATCGTTTTGATACAACTTTCGACTTTTGTGGTATAAAATTTGATATCAATTAATCAACTGGTAATATCACTATTATGTCTCGCCGAACAAAGAACAGTCTATCCACGCTTACAGATGCTGATATTAAAAGCTTGATTCTGAAACTTCCCAAAACAGATGAAGCCAAAGAAAAAGATATTCCATCAGAAAGATCTCCCAAAGATAAGGGAAACAAGACGAAAGAAAATGAAAAGTGCACCGAACCTAATGATAAAGAACCAAAATTACGGGCGCACGTGGTTGATGTTGAGAAATTTGCTTTAACGTTACCCAGCACAGACAAAATTGTTTCAAAAAAGTTAGATATCGACGATAATGCAAGTAAACTCGACCAAATCCTCACTCGTCTAGGTATTTTAGAAGAAAAATCGAAACACGATGATAACGAAAAAGCCGTCCTTCTAGTAGACAACGCGAAAATGGCAGCTGAGATTGACCATTTGAAATTTTCTATTAGCATGCTAAGAGAAGACAACAATCGAATCTTGTCTCTCCTTGATAACAATCAAAATGCTTGGATAGATGCCAATCGTAAGAATGAACCCAAGACCAACCGAAAAAACCCAACAACTAATCCTCTTCTAGCAGATTCTAAACCGACAACTGATGGTACTTTAACTCTGTCGAATACGTTTCAAGTTCTCGCCAATGAGAATATATGTCCCTCTCCGGAGAAAGAAGTCAGATTCAGAATCAAATTGCTGAATATAGATCTTTCCACAAATCCAAATTTGAAGTGATACAAAAGAAAAACCAAGGCGTAGAACACCCTATTTCATCAAAAAAGCCAACTTCATAAGTAAAATTTAGAGCAATAAATAAGACCTTGATTATTGGGGACTCAATGGTGAAGCACATCAACCAGCCAAAGATTCAAAGAGCAGCGCGTGCACAGTCTACAGTACTGACAAACAGTGGAGCAAAAGTAGAGGACGTCTATACCAAAATGAACGAAACACTACAGAACGAAAACTATGATTCAATTATTATCCATGTGGGTACCAACAATCTGGTAAATGAAGATGCTGAAAGTGCTGCATCCAAAATAAAAGAGCTAATAATTGATGCCAAAAAACAAGTCAAAAGAGTTGCTGTATCAAGCGTAGTTAAAAGGTATGATGGCCGTGTTCAACCAAACAACCTGACTAAATTTAATAAATTGGTTAGTGAAATGTGTATACAAGACAACCTAATATTTATAAATAATGACAAAATTGATAAGAGCCTGCTAAACAGGTCCAACCTTCATTTAAACATGGCTGGTGATAAAGCATTAGGGAGTGCATTTTGCACTTATCTCAAGTCAGCAAGATATGGCCAAAATAAGCATTTTTTAGACCAAAATTATCGGACAAAAAAGTGGAACGATTATCTGCAGTTTGTACGTCAAACATTGAGGCAGGTCTAACTATTGAAAAAGCAAATTCTATTAATGCAATTAGCAATTTTTCATATGATCTTAACAAGGTTTCTAGCAAAAGGGGTTTTAAAATGGTTTTCCTGAACATAGTCAGTCTCCCAAAAAATATTGATGAGATAAGGTGCTCCTTATCAAAGAGTCATATTGATTTAATAGCCTTTAACGAAACTAGGCTTGACTCAACCCTTAACGATGGTTTGATGCATGTAACTGGATATGATTTAATCCGAAAAGACCTTTTAAGGAATGGTTGTGGTGTTTGCATTTATTTACGCAATACCACAAACTATAAAATAAGAAATGACCTTGTCTCCACAAATATAGAAGCAATTTGCATTGAAATTATTAAACCAAAAAGTAAACCATTTTTAGTTGCCACAATCTACAGACCCCCTAGTGCTCCTTCTGAGTTCTTTAATGAATTTGAAAAATGTATACAGTCAATGGATGATGAAAATCAAGAAATGTACATATTAGGTGATCTAAATTGTGACATGCTAAAACCATGTGACCAAATGCTAGAGAAAACAAAGAAACTTAAATCACTTTACGAAACCTATCAGCTTACTCAATTAATCAATCAGACTACACGAGTCACAAAATGCTCCAAAAGCCTGATTGACCACATAGTCACAAATACTCCTGAAAAAATATCTGAATCAGGAGTTATTTACACAGGTATTAGTGACCATGATATGATTTTTGCAATTAGGAAAACTTCCATACCAAAAAGTAAAAACATCATTGAAATAAGAAACATGAAAAACTTTAATGAGAAAAAGTTTCTTGATGAACTCAGGGAGCAACCATGGGATTCTGTATATTTCTTCCCCCATGATACTAATGCTATGTGGGAAATGTGGAAAGGTCTATTCCTTGAGATTTTTGACAAATATGCACCCATTCAAAATAAAAAGATTCGAGGAAAAATCTTCTATGGGACATAAAAGAACTGATGAAAAATCGAGATTATTTGAAACACAAGGCAATGAAAACAAATTTAGAAACAGACTGGATGTGTTACAGGAAAAGCAGGAATAAAGTAAATATTAAACTAAAATACGCAAAAAAAGAGTACTACTCTTCAAAGATTGTTGGTCAAAAACAAAACCCTAAACAGGCCTGGAAAACTATCAACAATTTATTGGGAAAAAAAAAGAAAGAAACAGTTATAAATGAATTGATTATCAATGACAACACTTTTACAACCTCAGAAAGCATAGCAGAGGGCCTTAATACATATTTTTCTAATATTGGCCCAAAACTTGCTGAAGAAATAGACAACACAAAAACTAATTTTGAAAATTATATAAATACAACTAAATCAGAGTTTGCTGCCTTTCGGCCAACTACTGTCCATAATGTGTACCATCTCATTTGTGGACTTTCGGCAAATAAGGCAACAGGTTGTGATGGAATATCATGTAAAATTTTAAAACTAGCTGCACCTGTCATATCTGAAACATTAACCTATATTTTCAATCAGTGCATAACTTTGTCTGTCTTCCCAGATGAATGGAAAACAGCAAGAATTATACCTCTTTACAAAAATGGACACCGTAACTTGCCTGGAAACTATAGACCAATTTCAATTCTTCCAGTCGTCAGTAAAATCATTGAACGTATACTTTACGATCAACTCTACAACTACTTTTCTAAATCTGAAATCCTAAGTGATTGTCAATTTGGTTTCAGAAAATCACATTCAACAACAACTGCCTTAATTGACTGTACGAATGATTGGTACACAAACATGGATAAAAGGCTGCTCAACCTTGTAGTCCAAATTGATCTAAAAAAGGCTTTTGATACTGTTGACCACAAAATTTTATTAAGAAAACTTGAGTTGTATGGAATTAAAGGACAAGCCTACAACCTAATTGAATCCTATCTGTCAAAGCGAACTCAAAGATGCCAAATCAAAAATTTTATTTCATCCCAACAACTCCTCTCCTGTGGAGTTCCCCAGGGCTCTTATCTAGGTCCGTTATTTTTCTTAATATATATCAATGACTTACCCTCATGCTTAGAGCAATGTAAACCAAAAATGTTTGCTGATGATACTAGCATAACTGCTTCAAATAATGATATAGTTGAACTAGAAAAGACAGTAAACTCTGACATGGATAATCTTGAAAAGTGGTTGATAGCAAACAAACTTAGTTTGAATTCAACCAAGACTGAATATTTGATCATAGGCTCGAAACAAATGATCAAGAATGTTTTTACTTCTAATTTGCATATTGCAATTGGCAATTACGTTATAAATAGAATTTATGAGTACGAAAGTTTGGGTTTAATAATTGACCAACACTTATCTTGGAGGAGTAACACTGATAAAATTTGCAAAAAAGTAGCAGCCGGTATCTCCGCCCTTAGAAAATTAAAGCAATACACAGACAAACAAACACTTATCTCTATTTATAATGCCCTGGTACATCCTTACTTCACATATTGCTGTGAAGTTTGGGGTGTATTGGGGGAAACTCAGTCCAAAAGACTACAAAAACTTCAAACTAGAGCTGCAAAAATTATCATAAGCATGGGCATTGATGTCGATTATTGTAACGCGTTACAAGAATTGAAGTGGGAACCTCTTGAAATACTTAGAAAAAAAGCTAAAGCAAAGCTGATGCTTAAATTATTAAAAAATGCTGGACCAAATTCACTTACTTGATTGTTTACCTATAAAAAAGACATCACTGATTACAATCTACGCAATATTACAAGTTGTCTAAATGTTCCTATGCCTAGTACTAACTCCTTGAAGAAAAGCTTTGCGTATGATGGGGCTTCTGTTTGGAATTCAATTCCAGCAGAAATCAGAAATAGCAAAAGCGTGTCACGTTTTCAAAAGAAAATTGCTGCTTGTATTTTATGATTTAGTTTAACATGTAACTGATGGAATAAACTAAACTCTGTAAATATTTAAACTTCTCTTCTGTAGATAATTTATTTCTTAGTAAATTTTGTAATTGTTTTTGAACAAAAGCACGCCCCTTGTGGAAATCAACCCCAGTTGACAAGGCCAGCGTGTCAAAATAAAGATTCTCATTCATTCATTCATTCATTCATAGTCACATTGTTAATCTCGTTGTTTCAGACTTCAAGAAAAATTTTTCTGAAATAACTGAGTTTGTTAAATGTTTCAGAAATTTGTTTTACATTCCAAGTGGCCGAAAAAGTAGGTTTCTAAACTTTTTGAAAAAAGTCTCAACTAAAGAGGAGTCTGTCTGTATGCCTCCTAACCCAACAACAAAAAGCTGGAGTGCTTGGTTAGACACTGTGCTATATCACGCAGACCGTTTTTTGCACTATAGGAGCTTCATATCAGCAGAGCTTGAGGTCTCGGATCAACCATCCAATTCTTTGATAAGATTGGGAGAAATATACGAAGATGAGACATACTTATTGAAACTGAAAGCTCAGTTTGACTTCATTAAGATGAAAGCACCATCTTTGCTTATATATCTTGATTACTTTCAAATGAAGATTCCTCACATTACTCAGTCCTATGTAAAAATGAATCAGCTACTGGACTACTTGAGGCAAAATATTACAGTGGATTCTAATGATCTTTCAAAATCGTTTTATGATTTGGAGATAGATCACCAGGATGATTTGAAGAAACAGTTTGTAAGTGCTTTCAAGCAAGCAAAAGCAAAACTCGAGAAGTATATTGTTAATGGAGGACAACCAGCATCAGAATTTTTGAAGGAAATCAAAGTACTTGAACCACGCAACATAGTCTCTTCATCAAAGCTACACAGTTCATATACTAATATTCCTGGATTCAAAGAAAGTGTCTCCGATGAAGAATGGCATAAGTATGTTGATATATTCGGACCTGCTGCTGTGTCAGAAAGTCCACAAGGTAAGGTAGACCTGAAGCTGTTTTGGAAATCCCATGCAGATGAACTTCCAGAACTTTACAAGCTTGCCTCCCACTATTGCACTGGAACATTGGGATCATACGATGTTGAAAGGTCATTCAGCACATATAATTCCATTCTTGATCAGAAGAGAAGGAATTTAAATGACGTCCAATTTATTACGTAAATGCATGTTATATGCATTTCGTTGTATTAAACCACCATACCAAAAAATATCCAGATTTGATTTTAGCTGCATCGAGCGAAGAAAATTGAAGAACTTTTTTTACATTTTTTTATGTTATTTATGATTCGATGTATCACGAGATTCCAGATGGGATTCATGACTGCCTTAGAATACAATTAACACGCATTCTTAATAAGACAATGTTTTATGTTATCATTTAGCGTCATCGTAACTTCATACATTTAAATTTATAGCTATAGTTCAAAATTCCATATTTAGGTATATAACTTGTGAAAGCCAGTTTAGAGAGATTTTATGCATCAGTAATAATAATAGTGATTAGTGATTATAAGACAGCGAAAGCAACATTTAATAAAAAATAACAGTTCAAAAATTTGTATGACTTGCTTTTTTGTGGTGTATCCAGCTGGAATCCGTTCTGAATATTCTTAAGTCACGCCGTAAAGGCCCGTAACAATCCCTACATAAAATGCATTAGCATGACAACTTGTCAGTATTCCAGCTCTCCTTCGATTGTTACTGTACTGCAAATGAATTTTTTAGTGAAATTGCTGACATAAAAACTGGTCGGCATTCTTGATATTGGCCATGTATGGAACCATTAATTTTCACACAGCAGGACAGCTTGAAATGTGGTGTAATCAATTGCCTGGTAAGTGAGCACTCCCACAGACATTTAACAATTTATTCTATTAATTTATCCATTGGTCATTTCTTGTAGTTATTGCATTAGATTTCTGCACAATGCAAATCATGTCCACAAATCACAATGTATATAAATATATAAAAATATTTATTGCTGGTTATTTATGTAGGTTAATTTTGCGGCGAACATCTGTTCAAAACAGCTGTGTAAAATAGTTCTCTTTGAGCTGTCAAAAATAACATACGCTTTAAATAATCTTCCTGTCCAATACACCCTTCCATTACGTTGTACATATACATATTACATATTATATATACATATTTTATATAAAATGCTTCCTTTAGTCATAGTTAACGCCTAATGTCTTACATTATAAATATTGCTACTAACGTTAATAAAGTCAGTCTCGAACTGGAATTGTTTCTGTTATTGTCTCGGTATTCTACAATTTGAACAATTTCTTTTCCACAGTTTCCAAGGTGTATTTGTGAAAATTCAAGATTAAACAGAAATTTTAAAATGGAATTAGAGAAAGAGAAATTAATATCACCCATATTCAGCTCTTGCTATGATGACAATCATGAGTATGTTTTAACAAGTCTTTAACCCATTATATAGTGTATGAGAAACTTAAATTCATTTTAAATTCCTTTGTTTGTTTTGCTGTAGAGGAAATACTGGTGTTTGCAAAATATGCAAAGACAATGATGGTGAAGATTGGCTTGGATGCAACAAATGCTTTCAGTTTTTTCATTACAGGTGTTTAAATTTGGACTTTTCTGCTGCCCTTGCCAACTATTTTGTTTGTCCATGCCAAAACTCTTGGCACAATATCACACAAATGTCTACATTTACCATCTCAACATTAAATAAATTTCCAAGGAAACAGGCAAACAGTCATAAGTGCTTCAATGATTGTGTTGTATTTAGAAGAAGTAAACTTGAATGGGTAGCACTTAAAGCTTACCACAACTTGGTCATAATGCCTATCCATTTCCTGTATTCTGCTTGCAAACATCTTTCATTATACACTCTCAAAGCATGGTTGTAGTTTCTTAATTCAGATGCTTAACTTAAAAGTCAAAAATTAATTACAGTCAAAATAGAAAAAAGTTAATATAATAAAAATAAATAAGAAAAGAAGGAGAATACATACCTGCTTTTGACGACAAACTCAAACAACACGTACATCGTTTTTTGTTGACTCTCTAGTTTCTACATAATGTTTCAAATTTCAAAGGGATATATGTATCGCATCCATTTTCTGGCATATTCAACCACGATATATGTATGTTATTAAAAGCGAATGTAATCTTTTAGAACGGCATGAGATATTGCATATGATCCAAACCATACAATCCTGTTTTCAATGCCATCATAATGCTTTTTCGTAGCACAAGAGGAGCAAGGTCTACAATACACTAAATAATTTATTTAAGTCAAATAATTATGAAGTGAAGCGTAACATATAACAAATCAGAACTTACCCTTCACATCATGGATTGAACAAAAGTACGCAACTGAACACAAGTCTACGTACAACCATTCATCTTGAATAGAACGTTTATCCCACTCTGCACCACAAGAACAAATACCACTTTCAGATGGCGCCAAAATTTTATGACCATTTTTTTTCAGGAAGATCAGTAAAATCGCTTGCATCATTCTCATTGCCTAAAATAATTAAATTGTAATATTTACAAAATGCTAGAAAGTGCTAAATACCATACCGATAAAGGAAATAGTATATGTAAAGCTAAAAGGATGTTCACCATTGCAGATTATCTTGCATACCTGTTTCAAATAAAGAAACCTTTTCTTTGCTAAGTGTAGCCAATTCAAAATAGTCTCGCATCTGGTGTAATTCCAAAGGAAAACTTAAAAAGTGCCAATGGAGAATCCATTTCATCCTCGTCAACGATTAGGGCGGCAACGCTGGGGCGGCATTACTTTTGAATACACAAAAGTACAACCCACCCACCCCCCCCCACCCCCCCAATGGACTATTCACTGGTTTTACAGCAATCCACTGAACCTCCCTGCACACTGCACTAGACAAGTCCTAAAATATGTAAAATCATTTATCTTAAGGTTATATTATGTGTGTGTATGTATGTGTGTGTATGTATGTGTGTGTATGTATGTGTGTGTATGTGTGTGTATGTATGTGTGTGTATGTGTATGCAGATTAATAATTATGATTAATTATGACTTCACAAAATTCTTAGAAAGTGCTTAATATATATATATATCAGGCACGTAAAGCAAATGGTGAATATGACTTTACTAGTTTTGTCATACATTTAGTTTATACTACTTAATGTATGTACTGTAAGTATGTGACTATGTATGTATGTGAGTATGAATGTGTATACCTCAATAGTCATAAATAAATTCAATTTGCCCTGTTGGTTATCACCCTAATAGCTTTATAGAAGCTCCTGAACTTAGGCACAGGATGTATGGTAACAAATTGTGGGGTATTAGAAGGTTGAGAAACAATACGTGTATTTGTACAAAAAAGTTATTTTCACATAACAAAATATACTTCTTCAGGTTGCATCTCATGGTAGGAATGATCTCTGAAAACAGACTGCATCATGGATGTGGATTCTGCATTCATAAAAGAAATTCCATGAGATAAATATATTGTGTAAATAATCATTCACAAGTTTTAACAATATTTTGCTTGTAAAGCTGTGCTGGTTAACATCCACATGTAATAAGAACAATGTCGAACAAGGGTCTTGTAAAAACACAGAAGGATGACTTCACAAGGGTTGGAAATGTCTAATAAACTGATATTTAAGGATGAAGACATTTTCTCCCATACCACATGAAGAACTTCACATTGAAAAAATAAGCCAAATACAAATTTGAGACATCCACTACATGCAATGTCAGATTAATATGTAACAAGTTCTCACATCTTTGACAAGGGTCTTGAAACAAATAGTATGTAAGTGTAACTCAAAATTTGGTGAAGCTGTTCAGACACCTTATATCCTGAAAGAGTAACACACAACACTTACTTTTTTCAATAAAATCTTTGGCTTCAATACCAAACTTTCTATCATACACAACCAGATATTTTTTCATTGCTAATATGTGTATGCAACTGGGATATGGTATATCTGACAAGTAAAAAAACGTTGTGTAGCGACGAATCAAGCTTAGTCATAGTTGTTGTGCGTCAACGGATATAGGATGTGAGTAAGCACAACAACGCGCTACAAGCTAACCACACAAGCCCGACCACAAAGCATGAAAGCACTATAACGCGCTTAGAAAGAACTAAGACATCCCACTATTACGTGCAGGATATGACGGGAAACACTCCCTTTAGTTATTATATAAAGACAAGACAAGACAAGAGATGAATAGAGCATAGTAAAATTGAATGTAAACTCGTATAATTAAATATAATGTAATAATAATAACGATACGTGGCAAGTGTATGATTTCCTGGCGCAAGTGCATATACCGAGGGACATGAGGATCCAAATCTGACCGTTATACGGCTCATTGCACAAACATTGCACAATCAAGTCTGTGGAGAATAGTCACCCTCAAGCAACGCGTGGACAGAGTGTTCATGAAGATGACCAACATCGTGTCAACGAGCAACTTTACGTTCCGGACGAAACTGATCTTATGTATACCCGCGACTCACCTGTCTTCGAGTACACAAACCCAATACGTGAGGGCGAACTACCCATACTTGACGAACGGCAACCTTCATTGTCCCGACCACGTTGTCAAATTCGACCTCCCGGATGGATGGCGGACTTTGACGTAGACATAAACTGAATATTCTGGACAACATGATTTTAATTGTTTGAATTTTGCATGATTTAGGAGACATATATAATATACTAGGGTTATCAGCGCATGGGACATGCTTTCTCTAAGAAGGGGATAGTGTAGCAACGAATCAAGCTTAGTCATAGTTGTTGTGCGTCAACGGATATAGGATGTGAGTAAGCACAACAACGCGCTACAAGCTAACCACACAAGCCCGACCACAAAGCATGAAAGCACTATAACGCGCTTAGAAAGAACTAAGTGCATAGGGAAACTGCAATTGATGTTCACCATCGTTACAGTTGTTTGGCCTGTTTTAATCATTTCATTTCAGTAAATCTATTTTACATACCTTTTTGAGGATCTAATTGTATATTATTAGGTAGGGCTTCAACAAATTGCTTTCTATTTGCATCACATGAGCAGCACAATATCCAACCATAGCCATCAAGCAATAGGTGGGGATATCGATGTACAAATACAAATAAATTATGCTGAAGAAAAAAATACATGCAGATTATAGCACCCTTTTTTATGAACTTAATTGAAAGACCTTGTTTCAGTGATTTTAAATCTGCAATTACAATTGAAATTGGATTGGTGAAAGTGATTTTACGGATGTTCAAAGTCACGACTTTCAGCATTTTTTTTGCGAACTTTTTGATCGGTATGCTAATGACTTGTGACGTAAAAGTTGAACACATTTATCAACATGGCGTATTCTACTAGTAATCTTAATAAGAAACGCGGAGGAAAACGCTGTGTTGCTGGCGGACCTAATCAAATTAGTTGCGCCAATGATTCAAAAACCGAAGGAATGTCGATGCATCTGTTTCCTAAAAAAGAAACAGAGCCGCAAAGACATAGAAAATGGGTACATTCTGTGCGTAAACATAGACCGGGTTTTGAGGCTTCCTCTACCTCGTGTCTGTGTTCTGCGCATTTTGAACATTCTTGTTTTGACCTTAATTTGAGCGTGCAAGTCAAGCTCAAAAGAAGGTTGAAGAAAGATGCTATCCCAACCATTGACGTGGCTGGGATTCCTGAACCATTACAGGACGAAATAACCGAGTTTACGCTTGTTTATGTAAATTTTTCTTTTGTCATATGTAAATTCGATATAAGTTTTGTAGATTATTCGACATACTCTCCATAAGCCATCGCTGAAGGAAACATGTTTTCTCGATGAGGAAGTACCATCTACTAGTGATGGAGCTGAGCATGTTGAAGTATGCACAGGGGAAGCAAACCATTCGCCATTTGAAGAACTACATGCAGTTGGTGAAGATATTTGTGAATCCAGTCTCCATGTAAATCATGCCATCGTCTTAAGAAAAAACTTACATCTTTACAAAAGACTTTAAGCTGGTATAAAAAGACAAAAGCATCTTTGAAGAAAAAGGCCCCGAAGTTGCAAAATGAATATCGAAGCGAAATCAGGGAAAATCGTAATACATCCGTGGTGAACAGCATTAATATAGACGATGGAATGCAGGGGAGTGCTGAAGAGCTTTTCGAAGGAGAATCATACATGGACTACTCCTCTTTGAAGAGTCTAGTCAGAGTGAAGATTTAGATGAAGATACCACAAGTAATACAGTCAGGTATTTTATCTTATAAAGAATTAGATCTCTGTTGTATTTCATAATAATGAATTTTCTTAATCGTATTACAGAATTGATGAAGGAACAAGCTCGCATAAACAACCTATGTTCATGGTATTTTACATCTCATTGGTTGAGTTATTTGAAAAATTTTGCTTTAACTGCAAGGCTGAAAATCCAAAAGTACACATTAAAAACATTGGTTCGATGGCCATTGTAGAGCAAAATTGTGGTAAATGTGTTGAAAAGAACTTTATGTGGCAAACACAAGCAGGTAAAGGCCAAGTATTCTCCCATCCCATAGACCCACAAAACCATCGCATCAACCATCTGTATGCCACAGCTCTCAAGTACCTGAAGTAAATAAAAAGGTTGGACTAATTATTGTTGATGAAACAATGTTGATGATAACATTGTTTCTCATAAAATTTACAATGTTACATATTTAATGATTGTGATGCTTGGCGGCGAAAAGCACGTCCATTCCTATCTCTCAATAGTGGCCCGACGTTTTCAAGGACAGCCTCGTGAACTAAAGGCCCAAATTTGGCATGCTGTGTTATACATGATATTTTCTCAATTCTGCCATCGAATGTCATTTTCTGCAAAGCTGGTCCTATTTCCTTACAGCATCTGTACTCTAATGCGCCTTCTAACAAATCGGTATGACAGCATTGACAATTACACCTGAAACGTGGGAGCATTGTGGTTTATAAAGTAACTTTATGTATATTACAAACAGGGGAAAACAACAACTTACCATTCACCGAGTGGAATTACGCCATCACTTCGTTGTTCTAATGTCGCAGGGAGAATTCCATCGGGATCATCTGGAGTATGCACTTCATCACCATCTCCTGCGAGCGGTTCATCGTCATATGCAAAGTCGTTTAAATGCTCGACATAACCCACGGATTCCGAGCTCGAATCAGATGCGCATTCAGACATCGAATTCGAATTATCTGAGCACTGATTTGAGGCCATACTTTCCGGAAAACTTGTTTTTTAATATTTTATTGAAAATACTGTCATTATTTGTTAAAAAGACAAGAAAAACGACAACAAAATCACCTCCTATAATATAATATTATATTGACGGAAACAGACGTGTTCAACTATCTACGTCACAAGTATCAATATGGCGTCGTAAAAAATTCGCAAATAGTACCCGACTTTGGAGGCAAAATTAAGGAACTTATATTTATCTGTTTAAGTCCAGCGACATGTCAAAGTTCTTCAAATAATCCAAATTTTCAATTAAGCTCATAAAAAAGGGGGGCTAAAATTCGTAATATAAGCACTTTAATAAAAATCCAGAGAAACTCTTACAATTGAATACAAAATATAACAATTCTTTCTATAGTTACAACTTTGAGTTTCCTCTAAAGCATTTTATTCTTTTGATTCATTATACGCATTTTGGACACTTCCAAGTGACATTTGTCTTGTGGAAAACTGAATCTGGCATTGTTGGTGAACACTTTTTGTGTAACCACTCCAAGCATTTTT